TGGCGATTAGGGCCAATCAGGTTTCCAGCCTCCCCACCTCTCTGACTCCTCCTTCCCTCACTGACCATGAACCACCATGACACTGCCGCTGGTCGCCCACCATGTTCCGCACTGCCCCCTGGTGACCAGCTCACATCATAGCGACTGATCAAACTCCTGGCCTGGTGCATCGGTAGGGTCCCTAGGCCTGGCCAGTGATCAGAGCCAATCAGGGCTTCCGGCTGCTGGCCGGGGCCTTCCTTCATTCCGCACTGCCCCCTGGTGGTCAGTGCACATCATAGTGAGTGATTGAACTCCCGTTCTCCTGGTCAAACTCCCGAGGGGACACTTTGCATATTAGCCTTTTATATATATAGATAGATGGTAGAATTGGGAAGATGGAGACCTGCCTCACAGTTAACTCAGAGCTGAATTTCCGAAATGCTGTGGGCTTGGTTCTGATCACTAATTTGCCACCTAGTTGCTGACATTTCAAAACATACTTTGTTCTGTCATCATCATCACAGCACTGACCCTTTTTCAGGCGTTTACTGGGATCTATGCAGGTTATCTCACTTGTCACACCAACCACACACTTCAATAAAGCTGAGGAAATCAAGGCTCAGGAAGAGAGGTGATGTGCTCTCAGTCACTCCTGTAGATGAAGGAAGAGAAGGAATTTGGACCAAGGCCCATGTGACTCCACCATCACACTTATTTACACTGGGGACGTTAGGTGAAATTGTAGTACATTTTGTATTTCTGACATTGTCCAAATTTTATGGTTCTGGTGCAGAAGTTATCCTGATAAGTGCCAAATCTGTTCAGTTATTATTACCATATGTTACAGTTTATGAAGACATTTCATAGTATAAATGCTAATGTCTGTATCAGTTTAAGTTTCCATATGCATTTTAATTGTATTTTAATTATAAAGGCTGAAACGGAAATTCTGTATATTTCAGCCAGTTGAGAGAAAAGAATCCTAAATGCTCAAGTAAGTGTGATTTATGCTGTTGCCAAAAAAAACCAAAGTGAAGGACATATGGACACTATCTCCTTAGTTATGATTGTTTGCAGACTATACATTTGAAGAGAAAGAGAAAGTCTGCAGTGGAGAGGAGTCCTGAGGAAACATGTGGACACTGGATTATATTTGTGGCTCATTCAGCTGGGAATGGATGTAGAGGGCCAGGGGATGGCTGACTTGTCCCTACTTCCCCACAGGTTAGGGTCACTTGGTGATTGGTTTTTTGTGCTTTTAACGTATGGTGGGGGGTACTCGGCAAACTATGGTCCATGGGTAAAATCCAGCCAGCCAGCTATGTTTGTAAATAAAGTTTTATTGGGACACAGCCACACTCACTTGTTTGCCTACTCTCCATGGCTGCTTTCACACCACAAGGGCAGAGTTGAGTTACTGAGACAGAAAGCAGTATGGCGTGCAAAGCCAGCAATGTTCACAGTCTGGTCCTTTGCATTAAAAAGTTTGCCAAATCCCGGCCTAACATTATCTTTTGGATGTTTCCTAACTTTTCTTTCTGCTGTGTGTCATACATGCTTGAAACTCATTTATTCACTGGTTAATTTATTTGTCAAATATGGGTTAATCGTAGTGGCAAGAAATCTTAGCACAGGGACTGTGGGCTCACGAGAAAAACCATGTAGTCAAAGACCATGGGCTTGATAATAAGAAACATTCGTTGAACTTGCCATGGTCAGGGGTCTTAGCTACAAATAACAGAATCCACTAACTCAAGCAGAAAGGGATTCATTTAATAATTTAGATAACTCTCAGAATTGTTGGGAGGGCTGAAGAAAAAGCTTCAAGTCACCAAAGCACCCCAAGAACAAGCCACCAAGGGAATTGCTGCCTGCCACAATCAGGAAGTGTCAGAACCCAGTAGTGGAGCCATCTCTGCCAGCTCCGGAACCACACCTTCCACATAGCTCATCCCATGGAACCACGCCCCACCTTGCCTTTGCCCTGGCTGTCTCCCTGCTGATTCACATTAAACCCTAATTGGCAAAGCCCAAATCACACACAAAACCTAGCTGCAAGGGAGCCTGAGAAGGGTTTCCAGCTCTCCAGCCCCTGGATGTTGATCAGATAATCCACAGCCAACATAGCCACTACCTCTGTAGTTATGCCTTGAAAGATAGATTGTTCAACTCCCTTACTCCTATATTAAAATTTGAGAACTAAGGCATTATTAAGTAAACATAGCAAATGAGACTGGCCGAGAATACCGGAGTGAGCAGGAGTAGGTACTATGGAAGTTATTGTCAGACTCATCTCCCAATCCCGCCTATTTATCTTTCTTTTTTTGTTCCATCAGTTCTATTTGTCATATATCTAGAATTCATTATATAAATCTTTCAAAATAATTAGATTTTACAAGGGTAGTTTACCATTTAGCTCTAATTTCACCAATGTTTGACCCAGGAAACCATTTTTACAAATACGTATGTTTTCTTATAAGGCTACTTTAATAAAGAAAATAAGTCTCTATACCTCTTACAGAAAGATTGATGCAGTTTTCCCCCATTTAATTGCCATTTTAGATTTTCGATCATAGCATGTCCATCACACCCAGTAAACCAAATTACAATTTGCTGCTGCTTCTCCTTTTTAATCACTTTTGAGAATCACACTGTTAAGAGTTTTTAGGCTTCTTTTTCTAATCTTCCCTGATCTGAAAGAAGGCTAGAAGAGGTCATTTAAACAATACTCCTTCCAAATATAACTTGTATCAGGTCGTATTTGGCTAATCACTGTGCTTGGTGAGTGACCTTTTCACTTCTCACTTAGGCTGCAGCAGCTAGTCGTTTTATCCCCGCTGTATCAGCAAAAGGGGTGCATCCTTGCATTCCTAAGTTTTTAAACTGCAAAAGTGAAACCCTAGAAACAAGAGTTATATAGAAATATTAAGAGAGCTAAAACATTGCTATTGTTTAGAGAACACTTTTAAATTCGAGTTTTCACCCCAGGTGGCATGGCTTAGTGGTTGAGCGTCAGCCTATGAACCAGGAGGTCACGGTTCAATTCCCGGTCAGGGTGCAAGCCCAGGTTGTGGGCTCCATCCCCAGTGTGGGGTGTGCAGGGGCAGCTGATCGATGATTCTCCCTCATCATTGATGTTTCTAGCTCTTTCTCCCTATCCCTTCTTCTCTGAAATCAATAAAAGAAAATGTATTTTAAAAAATTCAAGGCCTCTCCCAGGTTGAGGAAGACATAAAAGAAGTAAAGTTTAAGGATTTGGCAGTAGTTTCATAAAATATTGAAAAACTGAAAAAGGTTAATCACTCGGGTCAGTGATGTGTCACATCCAAAGTGCCAGAAGATCCGGACTCTGTTGCTAGCGGGGCTCAGTGTTTGACATCTGTGTATTCTCACGTGCCCAAGGCAAGTGATCACTTAGGCCAGGGGAATTTTACAGGTTACTGACCACGTTTACCTGCAGAGACAGGACCCACAAGGGGAAACATTTGGCATTCATTCCATTCCTTCGCTGGCAGCACACCCATTTCTCTTTCCTTTAATTCTCCTTTTTACCTAAGTGTAACAGTTATTACAGGTTTTGACCAAAGTACTTCCGCAGTAGTTGGAAATGAGTTACTCTGTATTACCAGAAGTGTTCCGTCACCTTATAATGGGTCACGTTTGCATAAGAACTAAGAGCTGGTCAAAAGTGTCTGCTGTAGCGATTTTGCAAATTCAGTGTTGTGGTTGCATCCATCATTGTTCTTGTATCCTTTTTTAAAATTTTATTTTAGAATGAGTTTATTTTTATTATAAAATGATGCTTCTTTTTACAAAAGAATTATAATGAGGACACTCTGAAATAACACAATTCATTGCAGCAAGTTGTCATCCTTTCTTAAAACACCATCTATTAACACATTGTGCACCAGTAGTTTTATTGCTAGCTTTACCCAGTGGCCAGATAAGATTCTGGAGTACAAAAAAATACTTTAAAAAGATATTAGCTTGTAAGAACAAGTAATAAATAACTTCAAAATGCAATGGGTGTTTAATGTTAAAGTGTGCCTATAACATTTATGTAAAACACTGTGTAATATGAAAACACGAGAATACTTGTGATCCGCCCACAATTTGTTAAGCTAGCCAGTCCCTCTTCACTCATTAGTGATGCCTCCTCATTCCCCTCCTACTTATGGACATGAGCGATGGCTGTGGATAGTTCTAGGCCGTCAAGCAAACCCCTGCCATTGTAATCATGCCTTTTGAAACAATGGAGCTGCAGTTCTTGTGGGGACATCCCCACCTCTGGTTGGTTGATGACACCTGGATGTTCCATGACAAGCTCTTGCTAGTGCACTGTGTTCTTATCCAGGTCTGTGCTGCTGGAATGGGAGAAGACAGCCCTGGGGCTCCGGGGCCCTGGCACCTGGGGCACACAGGGCCCAGGGCAAGTCACACAGGAGCGGGTTCTGAGCAGCTGCAGAGATCTCAGTTGCTGGTACCCTCGCTGCGCCCCCTCCCCATTTGTCTTTCAAAGCCTCAGAGCCACCGCCTTCCAGTAGAAGGTGGAAGTTTCTGTCCTCTGGCGTTCTCAGAACACTTTCTCTCGCATACGTTCTTCCATGTCTTCCTTTTAACTTTTTTTTTTTTTAAAATAAGAGAACATCGTTGGTACAGTATCTTTGAAGTACCTCTCATTTTCCTGTTCATTCCATGAAACTCCCCTCTTCCCAGAGACAAATAGTGGAGCCGATTTATCTTTCCGTATTTTTCAATTTTGACTCCATATGTGCGTCTGTGCACAACACAGAGGGTTGTTTATGAGTTAATGAGTTTATCTAAAGGCTGTCACACCAGATGTATCATTTTGCCATTTGCTGTGTTTTTGAGATGGATCCATGTTGCTTCATCAGGCTCTGCTTCATTCATCTTTCAGGGTCATATGACAGGACCTTGTGTAAACAAGCTACGATTCATTTGTCCATTTCCTACTGAGGGCCCTGCAGCCTGCCCCCCAGTGTTTTCTTACCGTAAACATGGCTGCCATCAGCAGCTCTGCCTGTGCTTCCCGGGGTTGTGTGAGATCTCTCCAGGATGGGCACCACGCTGCAGAATGGCCCGGCTACTTCCAGCACTTCTAGGTCCTGTCAGATTGCTAAGATGAGTCTCCAGTTCCCAACAGCTCTACATGGAAGTTTTCCTTTCCCCATTTTAGCGAACACTGGACATTATCAAGAGTTGTAGGCTTGTGCCAGTCCAGTGGGTGTATTGTTTACATTTGCATTGCTGTTTTGATGTACATATGTCTGATTATTAGTGAGGTTGGCTATTCAGGTTTCCTTTCTGTAACGTGAACACTGCACACGCCCGTGCTCGTGTGTGTGTGTGTGTGTGTGTGTGTGTGTGTGTGTTCTGTTGGGTTGTCTCTTCTTGTTTAGTTGTTGGTGTTCTTTATGTATTCCGGATACAATCCTTTGTTATATGTGGTGCCATTGTTTTCTCCTAGTCTGTCATTGTCATTTTCCCCTCTGTCCTTTGTGTCCTCTGACCCGGTTTTGCTTCAGGCCAATGTTTGAATGAGGACAGAATGATGCTTCCCCACCATCCGAGCTTCTGGGCTCAGAATGTCAGCTTCTATATCAGTGAGAAAACCCGAAATCCCTTCAGCTGCTGCCCCGGGAGGTGGGCAGAGCAGAATTCCTTCCTTTCTCCCCACCTCCTCCATCCTTCTGAATCTAGGTGTGTTGGTTTCCCAGGGCTGCTGTGAGAGATTAACTCAGCCTGGTGGCTTAGAACAACAGACATTTATTTTTCCACAGTCAGGAGGCCAGAAACCCAAAATCAAAGTGTTGGCAGGGTCGGCTTCTTCTGGAGGCTCTGAGGGCGGATTTGGTCCTTGCCTCTCTCTTAGTGTCTGTGGCTGCTGGCAACGCTCAGAGACGCACAACTCCAGGCTCTGCTTCCCTTTTCACACGCCTTCCCTTCGGTGTGACTCTGTGTCTCCTCCTCACCCCAACCCCAGGATAATCTCACATCAAGATCCTTAATTTAATCACATCTGCAAAGACCCTGCTTCTACGTAGGGTCACACTCACAGGCCCTGGGAATCAGGACATGGGCATATATTTTTGGACGATTCAACCCACTACGTCAGGCAAACTGCATAGATCCCAGGGGACAACTAGCTAACAGCAGGGTGTCTGTGCTCATGTGTGAGTGTGTGAGTGTATGGGGTGCAGTGCTGGGAGGGTGTAGAGCAGGAAGAGTACATTCTGAGAGGCGTGTATTCTGGGGGGTACCATTCCCGCAGACAGGAAGAGCTGTACTTGTTGGGCATGTAGGTTATCGGATTCATAATCCCAGAAGACAGATAGTGGGAATAAAGGAAGGTACCTCCTGGGGTGAGCACGTATAAGCCATGCAGCCACTTGGAAGTGGCTGTTAACCTGTCCCTTGCGATGGAACTGAGCAGGTGCCTGTACCCCTGCAGAAGTGGGCAAGACAGAGCCAAAGGTGGGCTGCTCTGTCCCTTCCCAGATATTAAACTTTACAGATGCTGCCCTTTTGAAGAGAAGTAAAGGGAAAACAGATAGGGCCCACTCAGAAAATAGAGCAGAACCAAGGAGACAGAATGGCACTGCTGACCCTCATTACTTGTGGAGTTCACATTTGCCACGTTACCCACTAACCTGTATTCGTAACCCCCAAAACAGGACACGTGGTCCCTTCCCAGTGACTGTGGGCTGAGCAGGGCAGCTGGGAACCTGAGTCAGCGATGTGCACGTCCCCAGCTGAGGGGGGGCCGGGCCAGGCTCTGCCCTCTTGTTTCAGCACGGTGCATTTTCTGAACTTTTGTGCTTTTTCTTGATGATGTCACTGTTTAAAGTGGCCCCGCGTGTATGGCTCTGTCTAATGCCCCGAGGCACAAGAGTCTGTGATGTGCCTTACGGAGGGAAAACGTGTGTGTTAGATAGGCTTCCTTCAGGCACGAGCTAGGCTGCTGTTAGCCATGAGTTCCATGCGAGTGAAGCAGCAGTGTGTGTAAAATAAGGTGTCTTTAAACAGGAACACACATAAAACCAGGTTCAGTATTGATCAGTGTGTGGAAATGTGACCAGAGGCTTGCAGAAATCTAACTCTATTTCTTTTAGGAGCAATGGTTCAGAATTTGCTAATAGGGTGTCCCCAGCAGCCTTTTCTATACACACACACACACACACACACACACACACACACACAAGCCTAAGCGACCGAACAACCAAACGACTGGTCGACCAGTCGCTATGACACACACTGACCACCAGGGGGCAGGCGCTCAACTCAGGAGCTGCCCCTGGTGGTCAGTGTGCTCCCACAGCCCTTCTACCCCACCGGCCAACCTCTTGCATCCCCAATTGGCCCCGATCGGCCCCAATTGCTGGCCAGGCCAAGGGACCCCACCTATGCACGAATTTGTGCACCGGGCCTCTAGTAGACTATAACTACCATGAATATAATGATGACCAACGGAATCTGAAAGAGCCCACCTCTGGAGATGATTACACCTTAAGATCCAGGAGCAAATGCCTGGAAATTGGCACCCTCAAATGGCAAGAAGACACATTCCATGTGCAAGCAAAGCCAACGTGCTCCTCAGGAGAGGACAGTTCGAGATTAGAAGGCCTCGGGATAAGATGGAAGTGGAGATGGAAAATAGGGAAGGAATACAAAGGGAAAAAAAAGTTAATTGCAGGATCAAAGTCCATACGGCACACAGTGAGGAGCAGAAAATGTGTCCAGCACTAGATTCTTTAACTAGCTATAAAGTGAAATATGTATGATTCGGTTATTAGATATTGTGCCTTATTTATTGACTGAAAAGGAGTAAGGGAAAAAGCAGGATTTAAAATAGCATGAGCAGCCCTAGCTGGTTTTGCTCTGTGGCCTGTGGACTGAAGGGTTCCGGGTTCAATTCCGGGTGAGGGCACGTTTCCGGGTTGCGTGCTCAATCCCCAGGAGGGGGCATGCAGGAGGCAGCCACTCAATGATTCTCTCTCATCATTGATGTTTCTATCTCTCTCTCCCTCTCTCTTCCTCTCTGAAATCAATAAAAATCTATAGTAATAAAAGGGTAATATGCTAATTAGACCAGATGTCCTCCTGGACAAAGCCTCAGTGGCTGCGAGGGCCAAGGACAGGCTGCTGCAGAAGCTGTCAGTGGCAGCAGCAGCAGGGTGGTGGGGGTGGCGCCTTCCCCTGATCACCCGGTCGCCTCCCGTAGCGGGAGGCCAGAGGCAGCAGCAGTGGCTGGGTTGATGGGGCAGTGCCTTCCCTTGCTCAGCCTGGTCACCTCCCGCAGAGGACATCTCCTGAGGGCTCCTGGACTGTGAGAGGGGACAGGCCAGACTGAGAGACCCCCCCTCCCCACCAGGTCCTGAGTGCCTGCGGCCGGCCAGAGGGAGGGAAGCCCGGGTCCTGGTTGCCTGTGGCTGGCCGGAGGAGGGAAGCCTGGATCCCGGGTGTGGGGGCCAAGGCAGAGGCAGTTAGGGGTGATCAGGCAGGCAGGGGAGCAGTTGGGGGTGATCAGGGGTTCCAGGTACCTGTGGCCGGCCTGGGTGAAGCCACCCGAGGTCACGGGCTGTCAGCTAGAGGAGGCAAGCCTGGGTCCTGGGTGCGGGGGCCGAGGCAGAGGTGGTTAGGGGCGATCAGGCAGGCAGGCGAGCAGTTAGGAGCGATCAGGCAAGTAGGCAGGTGAGTGGTTCAGAGCCAGCAGTTCCATATTGCGAGAGGGATGTCCTGCATTGGAGAGGGTGCAAGCCGGGCTGAGGAACTCCCCTCCTCCCCCCGCCCTGTGCACGAATTTTGTGCACCAGGCCTCTAGTATTTAATAAAATAAAATAGCACGAGCATACAATGTTTTAACTCCTTTTCTCTTTTAAATGCATGCTTACTTAGAAAAGGTTCTGGATGACTGTATTAAGGTATTTAAGGTGGGATAGATGTTACTTTTTAGTATTCGACATGCTTATGCTACTCCAGTGTTTGATTTTGTGCAAAAAATTGCATTAACTTGAGTTAGAAATATTAAAGTGGGGATAAAGAAAACAAGGCATTGTCAGTGTGGACTGTTGGGCTCACTCCGTCCTCTGTTCTCCCACAGCTCCTGGTCCTCTCTGGCTGGCGGCGCTTACTCACCTGTGTCTGTGACCATCTCCCTCCTCAGGCTGTGAGGGCAGCCTTTATATTTCTAAAACCCGTGTGTGTGTGTGTGTGTGTGTGTGTGTGTGTGTGTGTGTGAGTGTGATGATGCTCAGGGCATTCTTCCTGTGGGGAGAAGTGGTGGAGGTGCGGCCCCCAGCCTGGGCTTGCAGCTCGGCCCCGTCCTCCTGTTCCTGGGCCTGCGTCAGCTCCTCTCCATCTCCAGCCCAGCTTCTTAAGGGTGGGAACGGTGACACGGGCGAGGGAATGAGAGAATGAAGCACTAACACACTTGAGCTCATTCATTCGGGTGGATCAGAAGGTGTGTTGACACCGATTCAGGAAGCTCAAGGCCTTTGAGAAAACGTCTGCGTTTTGGATGGAGTGTAGGAGGTGGAGGGAGTTCTGTGGGGTCCTACAGAGATGCACTCTGTGGGTGTCGGCGTCTCGCTGAGCAGTGAGATGGGCTCCTCCCAGCGCTAAGTCAGGGAGAGAAAGCCACATCTGCTGAAACTGTCCTTGTCCAGGAAGCGCCCGGAGCTGGATCGATCCCGGCGAGGTCCGGAGGGTTTGCTAAATGCTGGAGTCCCTTTAAACCCGGCTTCGCAGACACACAGGAGGCCTCAGAAGGCAAGGAAGCAGGCGGAGCGAGCTCGTGGCAGGAACTCATCTCTCCCAGGGCCGGGTGGGTGACACTAGCTCTGACCTTCTCTGAGTTCACAGCCCCCAGGAAGCCCCCGGAGGCTCTGGGCAGCCTTGGATGGGTGTGAGGGAGGAGAGCCTGGGGGCGAAGAGGGGTGAGGTCCTCTCCGCCTCTGAGGCCTCAGAGGAAGGGACCCAGGCTCCCTCCCGGTGAGCGTCTGGAGCATTTTCCTCTCAGAAACAAGGCAAACATGAGTGGAGGCCCCAGAGGCAGTCGGGTGGCTCTTCCTTCAGCCTCCGCGTTCGCTTCTCCAGGGGCAGCGCGTGGAAGCGTCAGAGGCCCGGAAAGCCGCCTGTGGGTCCCGGCATCTGGGTTTGCAGTGTGGCGCGGGCTCTGTGGTTCTTGGAGAAGAGGCTCGAGCTTCTCAGATCCTGGTCCACACCGGCAAGTGGCCCCAGAGGACGAGCAGGTGCTCCCGGGCCGGGGCAGGCAGCGTGGTGAGTGGGCAGAGCCCTCGTGGGGTGGGGAAGCAGCCCCCAGTTTTGACCAACTCCCCCTCCCCCCGGCTCTCTCCCTATCCCCCCTCAACTAGCTGGGTGGCCTTCGCCAGCCCTCGCTTCACGGGGCCTCAGCTGCCCATCTTTTGCTCAGAAGGTCAGGCAGAGGTTCCTGGAGTGTCTGCCAGCCTTTGAGTCTGTGAACCACGGAGGAGCTGCTGCGGCGGTGGGGGGTTCCTCCCGGGCCCCTCCCCGCGGCCCCCTTTCTCTTCCCCGTCTCCCGGACTCACCCCTGTTTTGTTTCCGAAGCTGCGATCCCAGGCCTGTCTGTGAGCCGAGGGAGAGGGTGTTGGCTTCAGCTTGACAACAGGGCCGGAGAACACTGCCATCCATCACGTCCTCATTGTCGCCATAGAAGGTCCCAGAAGGTCAGCCTCCAGTTGCCTCCCGGGACAGAGTCCTGTTTGTGTGGCCGGGGGACCGCCTTTCACAGAGACCCTGGAGAAAGGCCCCCGTCCCCCCAGAGGAGGCGAGAAGAAACGGAATATTCCGAAGGTCGACAGAAGAGAAGTTCGGAGGACATGGTGCTGTGTTAAAGCACAGGCACCGGATAGAGATATTTTTTGAGTGTTGCGCGCATCCTATTTATTTTATTTAACGCGGATTGAGTGTATTTTGTCTGCTTTCTGGAAGGATCTGTGGCCGGGGTGCGAGGGGTGGCTTTTGATATGAAAATGTGTATTGTGGCTCCGTGAATGGGGTGTGGGAAGGGGCAGCGGTGGCCCCCACTTGCTGGAGGAGGGGCCTCGCTGCGCGTCCAGCCCAGCCGGAGCGACCCGGGGAAGCTGCGAGGCGTGAAAGGGTGCTTTTAGGAAAGTCTGGATCAGACATGATGTTATAGGAAAAAATGCAGCGTCTGAGGAAACTGCGCATGAATAGAGAGAAAGCCGAGAAACGGGCTGGAGGCAGAGGACATAAAACAGATTGTCATCGGGAGCCGGGAGCGGCCGGCTGCGCCTGGGGGGAGAGGCAGAGGCTCCTGCTCCCGAGGGGAGGCCGAGCAGGGGCTGGGGCCCTTGCAGAGTGGTGGGGAGGCCAGGGGGCAGGCCCTTGCATTTCTGAAGCGTGAGGACAGACGGAGCCTTGGACAGAGCCATTGCCCCCTGGTCTGTGCCCGGAGAAGCCTTGCCTGTGCTGGGCTGTGCCCTCTCACCTTGACCCCCACACCTTCGGGGCGGGTGGCAGCGTCCACAGCAGGGAGGGAGCCACCTGTCCGGGCACTAGGAGAGGCCTCTCTGTGCTGCAGGGGAAGGGCAGGCGCCACCTCTCAGGCTGCAGGCAGTTTCCAGGGGCGCTTGTTGTGGCCCACACTGCCTGCTTCTCAGCCAGGCTCTGCCCTGGCCAAGTGCCCGGGGGCACAACATTCTTTGTGCCTCAGTTTCCTCACCTGTAGAAGGGGGTGAACCCCTATCGGGTTTGGCTCAGTGGATAGAGCGTTGGCCTGCAGACTAAAGGGTCCTGGGTTCAATTCCGGTCAAGGGCACATGCCCAGGTTGGGGGCTCCATCCCCAGTAGGGGGCGTGCAGGAGGCAGCTGATCCATGATTCTCATCATTGATGTTTTTTTCTCTCTCTCCCTCCCTCTCCCTTCCTCTTTGAAATCAATAAAAATACATTAAAAAATAACTTAAAAAAATGAAAGGGGATTAATGTCAGTGCCTACCTCAAAGGAATGTGAGGACTAAGTTAATGCTTTTATAAATGTCAATATTTTATTTATTGCCAAAACAATTTATTGTCCTTTAACTTTCCCAGCTAACGTCAATATAGTTTAATGTACCCATCTGAGTTTATCTTATTTTCACATCAGTGTTACTGGGTTTGACATTTTCTCATGAACCAGTGATGCCTACGTAATTAAAATTACTTTGATAACTAAAATGTTCTTTGCTAGATATCTCTGTGAATTGATTTAAAAATAAAATAAAATAGCCCTGGCTGGTGTGGTTTAGTTGGTTGAATGTTGTCCCATGCACCAAAAGGTCGCTGGCTCGATCCCTGGTCAGGTGTGTATAGGAGGCAATGGAGCGATATTTCTCTCTCTCTCTCTTTCTCTCTCTCTTCTCTCATCTCTCTCTCTCCCCCTCTCCCCCCCTCCCCTCTCCTTCTTGCTCTAAAATCAATTTAAAAACATTAACAAATAAAATCAAGAGAACTTCCTAATTTGTCCTGGGATTGTAGTAAGCAAAATTTGTGAAAACAGCTCCCTAGGCTGGTGGAGGCCACAGTTGGCTTTCCGAGCCTTGTTTCTCGTGGGGGCTCCACTGGCCTGGGGGTCAGTGGAGAGCAAACACCCTGGTGGCTTTGGTGGTGGTGGTGGGGTGTTAACAGCCTTTACAGGGCCCTGGCGAAGGGGTTCATTCACAGCAAGCATTAGCTTTGATGGTCCTGACCTGGGATGACTTGTCATGGGGTAGCAGGAGCTCCGTAAATACCAGAGTCCTCCTGGGCTCCCGCCTCCTCCCATCCTCACTGCCAGGCAGGCCGGACGAGGGGCCCTCCATATTTCACTTATTGAGAAGCTGCCAGACAGGCTCCCCAAGTGGCGGCACCATTTCTATTGTGTTTTCTTGATTACAAAATCTGCATTATTAACCGGTACATCTACCGAGGGCTCCCCCGCTCCCCATCCTCACCAGCACTGGCTACTATTTGCCTCTTGGGATTCTAGAAGTTCTCCTAGGCCCGGCTTCGGTTTGCATTTCCCTGGTGGCTCGTGGTGGCAAGCCCCTTCTCACGGGCTTACTGGCCATTTGTGTAGCTTCTTTGGAGACATGTCTGTTCAGATCGTTGTCTGTTTCAATGGGTAAGTCAGTTCTCAGTAGTGCTTGGGAGAAGGCCTCGCACGTGGGGAGCTACTGCTGGGAGAGTCCCCAGGACTCGCCTGCCCGACTTCTCGCCTACCTGTGCGAAGGATTTGGGGGGTACTGCATGAATGACCAAGAATGACCAAGAATGACCACAGGCCCTTGTCTCCCACCATAGAGCTGGTGGCTTTATGTTCCCCTCAAATATTTCCCCACCCGGGAGAGGCTGGAGCCACAGGCCAAACACCCACCAGACTTTTTGTGTTCCTTTCCCCAAGTCCCTGTGGTGGGCAGGGGCCTGCCCATACCTGGCAGCCTTTGGTGATGACTTCAGTGCCGCTCAGGATCTGAATTCTGTTCATCCACACGCCCCTGAGCGGCTGCCAACGGTGGGCTAGCACACGCAGTGTCTTGGGGGCCACAGCAGGACGTCCCAGGTCCTGCCCTCCAGCCCCCCTCCAGCAGCTTCCTCCAGCGCTGCTGTCCCCGGCGCCTGCGTCATCCTCGAGTTGTTTTGTACCAGCTGCTTGCTGCTCAGGTGGCTCTTTGGCTCAGCATAAGCTTTCCTTTTCATTTTTGCTTAAAAACACTCAAGGTTTTCCCGGAGTCGATTAGCCCTTGGTGATGACTGATCAAAGGCTTGGGTTGACCTCAGCATTTCAGGCGGAGCAGGTCCTCAAATAACGAACGTTGTTTTGTTCAACGTCGTTATGCCGTTGAGAAAAAAACAAAACGATGCCGGGGCCACCGTGCGGAGTTTGCATGTTCTCCCCGTGTCTGTGTGGAGAATTACGATGCAAGGCTCCGGATGGACACATTGGGCGGATAGCTGATGTCATAATTCAAATCCCCCTGCGGGACGAAACGGTCATACTGTACTGGGTCCGGACAGCGGCTTGTCAGTGACCCCACTGGTGATAAAACTCCTGTCTCCTCCCACCCCAGGGCTTTCTCCTTCTTTTCCTAGAGGCCATTTATATTCAGGTTCTGTTCCCTGTGGCACCCTTTGCTTCTCCCCCGCCCCCCGCCCCCAGCTTCCCAGGCTGCTCCCTGCCTCGCCTCGCCGTGCAGGGGGTAGTTAATTCCTCCTCCCACAGTATAATATCTGGCAACTGCGCCTCATCCTACTTTTTATTTCCTCCCCCATCTTCTCCGTTAATCCGCGCCTGCTGGAAGCGTGCTTTCTCTGCCGTTTCCCGTCGGCTCAGGCGCTGCGTTCCTCTCGGGGACCTCTCGGCAGTTCCGTTCATACCTATGGTTATTGTTATTCTGGCTCCGGGATAATCCCGCTTGCTCGCATGCGTGCTGCGGGGGCTCTGCGCCTTCCCCTGCCTTCTGCGCCCCTGGGAAACGGGGTCTGCAGCACCCCCATCTGGTCGGCCGCCCCGGGGCCCAGTCCAGGGTGGCAACTCTGATCAGTCACATGCTGACTCTACCTGGGCGCAGAGCAGCTGCCCTTCCACTTCCACGAAGCAGCCACCCTCCACTGCCCCAGGCCTTTCCTCCCCCTGCGTATGGTCACAGTCCTCTTGTTACCATTTCCAGGCCTCTCAATGTCTCATCACCTCTCCTGACACCCTCCAATTCATCAGGGATCCTCTTATTTGTTTAAAATATATTTTTATTGATTTCAGAGAGGAAGGGAGAGGGAGAGAGAGATAGAAACATCAACGATGAGAATCATTGATTGGCTGCCTCCTGCACGCCCCCCACCGGAGATCGAGCCCACAACCCAGGCATGTGCCCTTGACCGGACTCGAACCGGGGACCCTTCAGTCCACAGCCGCCTCCTGCACACCCCCCACTGGGGATGTGCCGGCAACCAAGGTACATGCCCTTGACCGGAATCGAACCTGGGACCTTTCAGTCCGCAGGCCGACGCTCTATCCACTGAGCCAAACCGGTCCCGGCCAGGGAACCTCTTCTTGATGTGGGAAAGGTGGACTGTGATCTGGTCAGTGCCAAGGGGGAGTATTACCTTTTTCAGTTGTAGGCATTTGGGGTCTACAGAGTTAGTTTCAGAATTACACTTCCTTTTTTTTAGCATCACAACCAGCAAGTGGTGACTTGGATGGGAGGTGCTGGGGGTCGGGCAATGGCTTTAACTTCCCCATGGTACTCCTGACCAGACGGTGGGGTTGCTGTGCCCTGGAGCATGTGAGTGGGTCCTGGGAGTGTAACATGCTGAGGAGTGAGCATGTTGTCAAGGCACAACCCCAGTCTCTAATCTTGTGCTTTTGTTTCCAGTTAAACTTTTTTTATTCTTTTATTTCTCATGTTACGAAGGCAGT